CCGCGCCGACGCGGTCGTACGGGGACCGGCGTGATGAGAACGCGCCAGAGTTTCCCCGTGCGCGACAGACTGATCCCCTCGAAGTCGACCGCGACCGGGGCGGCCGCGTCGATGAGCGCGCCGAGCGCCTTCGCGCACTCGAGCGGGGTGTCGAGGAGCGTCGCCTCGGGGGGAACGAACGGCGGCGGCGTCGGCGGCGTCGGCGGGGGGNGCGGAGGAGAGGGAGCGAAATCCGGATAGGGGACGAAATCCGGAGAAGGAGGACGAGGAGGATCCGCCGCGCGCGCGGCCCCGTCCTCCTCTCGCGTCGCGTCGGCGTCGTCGGCGTCTTCCGTCGCCGCCGCCGCGTCGCCGACGGTCACCCTCGCGAAGGACGCGGCGAGGACGTCGTCGTCGCGCGCCGCCGTCGCGCCGTCGCCGTCGCCGTCGCCGTCGCCGTCGCCGTCGCGCGTCGCCGCGTCGGGGTCGCGCGCGGCGCCGACCGTCGACGAGATCGCCCCCCGCTGCACGCCTCCTCCTCCTCCTCCTCCTCCTCCTCCTCCTCCTCCTCCGCCTTCCTCTCCCCCGCCGCCCCCGCCGCCGCGATCCCCGCGGGCCTCCGCCCGTCGGCGAGCGGCGCGCCTCTTCTGCGACGCCTTCGCGGCCGCGGACTTCGGCATCGCTCCCTCCGCGCGCCTCGGCTCTGGCTCCGAACGCCGCGTCTCGTTCTCAGCTGTTGTTGTTAAAAAGTGCGCGCGTCCGGCGACGCCGTGAACAGGTATCTATAGCTAGATTCCCGATTTCACGGTCAGTATTGACCCGCCATCGAGTTGCGTGAACGAAGGTTCACGACACACACAGACTAAATGCTCACACGTGAGCGAGAACAGCTGAAAGTGATTACGCAATGCGTGCGTGGGTTCGAATCCCATCGGATGCGGTGAAATTGCACAATGCATCTGTGGCCGAGTGGTTAAGGCGATCGCCTGCTATACACTGAAGTATACAGGAGGACGGGTCATCTTTTTTGGCTTCTTGGGCGAGAGCGGGATCGTCGTCGTCGTCGTCGTCGTCGTCGCGGTCGCGGCGCGCGCGGCGCGTTCGGTCGGCGGGCGAAGAGGCCGACGTTCTCGCGCGCGCGCACAAAATGATTTCGAGCTGTCGACCGATCAAATCGATCGGGGATTTTCCTATCAGGGCTGTAGTTTTCATCGCAATATCCGACAAACACACCACATGTACTGTACGTGTACTGTAGCCCGAGTGCGTCCTTTCGCGCGACCCCACTCGCGCGCGCGATGGGTTGCGGCGCGTCCGCGCCGAAAGACGGCGCCGCCGCCCCGGCGGATCCGCCGAAGAAGAACCCCGAGAAAGCAAAAGCGCCCCCGCCGCCCGCCGCGAAGGCCGAACCCGAGGCGGTCGCGCCTCCGCCCGTCGCGAGCGACGAAAATGCCGCCGCGCCCGTCGCGAGCGATCCCGCGCCCGACGCGACGACCGCGGCGCCGGCGCCCGCGGAAGACGCCGCCGCCGCCGACGCGCCCGCGCCCGCGGTAGACGCCGCCGCCGCCGCAGACGCGCCCGCGGCCGAGGGCGCCGCCGAGGGCGCCGACGCCGCGCCCGGAGGATCTGAGGTGCGTTCTATCTTACACTGGTCCCCATACGACCCCGTTGGCGTGGTGAACGCCGATCCTTAAGGACTTTCGCCGGCGCATCTCTCCGCCCACCCCTCGCTTTCAGTACCCGCCCTCGACGCCTTTCAACGCCAACTGACGCCTTTCAACTCCACCCCGACGTTCGCTTGTATAGAACGGCCCTGAATCCAAATCCGACGCCGATTCCGATTCCGATTCCGATTCCGATTCCGATTCCGATTCCTCCGACGCCGCGCCGCGCGTGGACTGGCCCGCGGACGCGGAGCAATACGTGGACGGCTACCTGTACGGCGCGCAGCCCGCTCCGCCGGGGCCGCCGAAGCCCGGGGTGCCGTACAAGGCGGTCCTGTCCTCGCGCGCGAGCTACGGTTCCGGGGACGTGTTAGACGGCGACGCCCCTTTGGGACCGTTGATGCCGTTCTGTCCCTACTGCGCCAGGCGCGTTATTACACCGCCGTGCCGTTCGACTCGTTTTTCACCCACCCCGTACGCGTACTGTAGGTTCAACGTTCGTTTGATCGCGTGGGTCCCTTTCAACTGCGTGATGACCGACGCGTCTTCCTTCAACTTTTTCTTGGCGCCAGGCTCTCGCTCGTCCTCGTCGAGTCCGGCGTCGAGTTCGTGCCGTTCCTGATCGACGGCCAGGACAAGCCGAAGTGGTTCACGGACGCGTACGAGGCCGCGGAGACGCCGTCGATGCTGGGCACCCCCGGCGGATTCGCCCCGGGCGGCGGCGAGGGCGATCCGAACAGCTGGGCGGGGGATTCGAAGGCGCGTCCCGTCTCGCGCCGACCGGTACCCGCGCGACCGCGTTCTGTCTCACGCCGGTCCCCGCGCGACCGCGTTCGCGCGGGGCGCGCCGATCCTCGAGGACGGACTTTATCTCCCGGCGTTTTGTTTGTTTCTCTCCGCCCAGGGTCGGTCCCACGCTTCCAATAATCCACGCCCTCGACGCCTTTCGACTCCTTCGACTGACGCCTTTGAACTCCGCCCCGACGTCGATCGCTTCGCGTTGACCCTCGACCCTCGACGCGAATTAAGGAGATCTTGCGTCGCTTAAGAGAGCAGTCTCCGGAGGTCCGCGAGTGGCTCGACGCGCGGCAGCCGACGGACCCGGCGGTCACCGTGGACTCGATCACGAAGATGATGTCCTCGATCGGTTTCGGGGAGATCGTGTCGTTCATCGCGCTCACCAAAGGTGCGTTCTATACAAAAGTTTTTCACCCATCGCCCGCTTTCAACATTTGATCGCGCCCCCTTTCAACTGACCGATGGACTGTTTTTGTATGGAACGGCCCAAAGAGGCGGGCGGGAGAGGGCTCGCGAAGAATCTGTGGGGAATGACGAGCTTCGACGTCGCCTCGCACGACTTTGAACCGACCCCGGGGAGGCGTTACGACAGAAGTGCGTCGACATGACGACGAAGCTCTGGCTCGAGTGCGAGAAGATGATCGCATCGCTGGGCGACGCGCCGTACATATGCGGCGACGCCCCCGGTTTGGCGGACGTCATGTTCGTCACGATGGCCAACTTCGCCAAAAACGGTGCGCGCGCGGTAGTTCTCCTTCCTCGCGCTGACTGGTCCCCATACGACCCCGTCCGCGTGGTGAACGCCGATCCTTAAGGAGTTTCTCTCCCGGCGTTTGTTTCTCTCCGCCCAGGGTCCCTCGTTTTCAACGCCCGACCTCGACGCCTTTCAACTCCGCTTCTGACGCCTATGAACTCCACCCCGACGTCGATCGCTTCGGATCGGCGCCGTAGTTCTCAAAGCCGGCGCGAGCGGCAACCCGGCGGCGGCGGAGCGCGGCGGCTGCGACCTCGCGGACGTCGGCGCGCCGTCCGTGGCGGCGTACGTCGACCGATGGAGGAAACGCGCATCGTGGAAGAAGGCTTTCTTCACCACGAGCCAGTACGGCGCGCATCACCTGATGGCCATGACGACGATGATGATGATGGCGGCGGACGCGCTCGACGGCGCGTTCTATCTCACACTGGTTCCCATACGACCGCGTCGGCGTGGTGAACGCCGTTCCTTGAGGAGTTTCTCTCCCGGCGTGTCTCTCCGCCCACACCACCCTTTCAATCCCCGCCCTCGACGCCTTTCAACTTCATCAACTGACGCCTTTGAACTCCACCCCGACTTCGCTTTGTAGGCGGGAAAAAAGTGTTCGACGCGCTCGAGCGCCTGCGGCGTTTGGACGAGGACTACAGCTACGAGAAGAAGACGCCGGCGACGACGAAGGCGGTCGCGGCGTGAGCGAGCGCGTCTGGTGCAGGAGTGATGTTGTATTATACATGTTTATTTTTATTACAGTACGTCATTCTGCACGCGATGACGCGGCTATGATAATCACCTATTACTGTACTGTACGTGTACGTGTACAGTACGTGTAGTGTAATCATCGTCGGGCGTGCAAAAATGCAACTCATCACTACGCAGGCCGGAGGTGTGACATTAGCGGCAAATAGAAAACGAGAATTCTCGTTTGCCCCCCCACGTGTTTCCCATCGGGATGGTTTTCCGATCAAAAATGCTGAAAGGGTATTTTTCATCGCAAGAGCCGATCAAAAGGTTTTTGCCGCTAATGTCACCTCCGGCCTGCGTACAGTAGCAATTGCGTTGGATTTGGGAATTCATCCGCGACGCGACACAACTCCTCGCGCGATGGCGCCGTGGAAGCGCGGCGCCGTCGGCCCCGCGGGCGGCGCGTCCGCGGCGGACGCTCCGGCGGCGCCTCCCGCGCGCGCGCGCTCGTGGCGCGCCAACGCGTGGCGTCGCGCCGGCGCGCTCGTCGTGTCCGCGAACGAACGCGACCGACCGACCGACCGCGACCGCGACGGATCTTCCTTCGCCTCCGTCGTCCGCCGCGCGCGACGCGAGAGCAGCTCGCGCACGGCGAAGCGCCTGAAGCATCGCACGGCGACGAAGCAGCGCGACGCGCGCGTCGCGTCCAACTCGCGCACCGTCGTCCTCAGCAGCGGATATATCTACTTCCTCGTCCTCGAGTCGTCGTGGGCGTTCACGTTCGCGCTCGCCTTCTCAGGTGCGTTCTATACACTGGTCCCCATACTACGACCGCGTCGCCGTGGTGAACGCCGATCCTTAAGGACTTCGCCCGGCGCATCTTTCCGCCCACCCCACGCTTTCAATCCCCGCCCTCGATGCCTTTGAACTCCGCTTTTGACGCCTTTCAACTCCACCCCGACATCGCTTTGTATGGAACGGCCCTCAGCCTACGCGCTCGCGATCCTCCTCGCGTTCGCAGCTTCGATCGGCGTGCCGCTGCACAACGACAACGCGGACAGCGACGCGAACCCCTCGGGCGCGGAGGTGACGCGCGCGGCGCTCGCGTTTCGCTTCGCGAGCTCGCACGTGCTGCAGATGTCGTTCGGCACGGTGATGCCCACCACCGACGCGGGGTACGCGTTCTGATTCATTCACACCGGTCCCCGTACGACCGCGTCGGCGTTGTGAACGCCGATCCTTAAGGACTTTACTTCCCGGCGTTTGGTCGTTTCTCTCCGCCCAGGGTCCCTCGCTGGTTTCAATCCCGACGCACGCGCCTCGACGCCTTTCAACTCCGCCACTGACGCCTTTCAACTCCACCCCGACGTTCACCCATCGCCCGGTCGCCAAGATACGCGGTGGCGTATCTCTCCATCATGCTCGGCGTCGTCCTGAACCTCTTCGTGTTCTCCGCGGTGCTCGCGAAGTTTCAGTCGCCGCAGAAGGATCTCGTGTGGAGCACGCGCGCGGTGATGACGCGTCGAGACGGCGTCCCCGTGCTCTGCGTGCGCGTCGGGAACCTACGCTGCCACACGCTCTACAACTGCGTGATTCGCGTGACGTTGCTGCGACGGCACGTCACCACGGAGGGGGAGGCGCGTCGTCCTTACTTATTTCACACTGGTCCCCGTACGACGACCGCACCCCGTTGTCGGCGCGGTGAACGCCGATCCTTAAGGACTTCTTCAGTTTCTCTCCCGGGGGGGGCGGCGGTCGTTTCTCTCCGCCCGCCACCCCGCGGTCGGTTTCGTCGATCCCCGCCCGCGACGCCTTTCGACTCCGTTCGTCCGTCTCACGCCTTTCGACGCCGCCCCGACGTCTCGCCTCGCGCGCGCCCTCGACCCTCAGGCGTACATGCGTAAGCTACGGGTGGACGTCACGCCGCCGGCGACGATGAGCGGCGTGCACACGATCGCGTGCGACGTCGTCCCGGGAAGCGCGCTGTTCAAAGTCCTCGGCGACAGCAAGACGACGAAGTGTCCCTCCGGCGCGGCGACCGCGGCGGACGACGACGACGCGTCGGACGCGTCCGACACCGACTCGGACTCCGACGAGGATAAATGCCAGGCGTGGCTGTTACACTACGTCTTCACCGCCGTAGACCCGGTGTACAACGCGGAGGTGTGCAGCCACTCGACGTACACGCCGGATAAGGTTGTGGGCCCCGGGCGACTGAAGGACGTCATCGCCGCGGGGAAGGGCGGCGCGGCGGCGATAGAGTGGGCGGCGTTCGACGAGTACGTGCCCGGATGCGATCACCGCGCGGACGATGAGGAGAAGGAGGAGGACGAGGGGAACGACGTCGGCGGCGACGAAGTCCTTAAGGAACGGCGTTCACCACGCGAACGCGGTCGTATGGGAACCAGTCACCACGCGAACGCGGTCCCCGCGGAGAAGCCGAGCCCTTCGAGCTCGGACGGGAAGCGGAGCGACGACAGCGCGATGGCGGCGGTCGTCGCGGACGACGACGCGGGGGGAGGGGAGGACGGGGGGGAGAGAAGAGGACGGGACGCGGCGGCGGCGGCGGCGGCGGCGGCGACGACGAAGTCCTTGAGGAACGGCGTTCACCACGCGAACGCGGTCGTACGGGAACCAGTCACGACGGCGGCGGCGGCGGCGGCGGCGGCGGCGAGCTCGGCGGGGAACGTCGCGGTGACGTTCGCCGAGGACGCGCAGGCGGACGCGATGACGGAGACGGCGACGGCGACGGCGGCGGCGGCGGCGCCGACGCCGACGCCGACGCCGACGTTTCTCTCCCGCGAGGAGTGCCTCGCGTCTTCGCCGCCGCCGCCTCCGTCGTCGTCGGGCGCGAAACTCATCGCGGTCATGTCCGCGCGCGCCTCCGACGGCCAGGGCGTGTCCGACACTTCGTCCGACACGACACATGTCGTGTCCGACACGACACACGCCGCGCTCCTCGACGGCGCCGCGCCCGAGGGCCCGCTGACGCCCTACTGCGGCGCGTGCGCGAGACTGTGCCTCGTCCTCGGCGAAGCCGGGGTGCCGTTCGAGACGGTGATGATCGACCGCGACGCGAAACCGGCGTGGTTCAAAGACGCGGTCAGAGAAGGGACGACGCCCGCGGTCAGAGGCGGGTTCGGAGGGCTCGGAGGAGAGGAAGCTCTCAAAGAAGACGCGTCTTGGGTCGCCGGACACGACGCGCTCCTCGCGGCGGCGGCGAAGACCTACCCGCGCGTGTCCGAGATGATACGACGCGCGAACGGCGACGGTCGCGGCGACGGCGCGCGCGGCGCCGCTTCGAAGATGACCACCGCGGACGCGACGCGGCTCGGGGAGAAGCTCACGTCCGCGCTCGTGTGCGGGCGGACGTTGGCGCTCGGCGGCGGCGACGGCGACGGCGACGACGCGGACGACGGGAGGTTCGAGTGGTGCCTCGCCGCCGCCGGCGTCGCGTTCGAGTCTCGGGTGCGTTCTATACACTGGTCCCCATACGACCGCGTTCGCGTGGTGAACGCCGTTCCTTAAGGACTTTTCCACCCGGCGTATCTCTCCGCCCAGGGTCCCTCGCTTTCAATCCCCACCCTCGGCGCCTTTCAACGCCAACTGACGCCTTTCAACTCCACCCCGACGTTCGCTCGTATAGAACGGCTCCGGCGGCGGCGCGTCGACGTCGATCGAGGACGCGAGGCGTTCGCTCGCCGCCGCCGCGTCGGACGCGGTTCGCGAGATCGAAGCCGCGATGTCGTCCGTAACGGCCGCGTCGTCGCCGTTTTTAGGCGGCGAGACGCCGAACGCCGCGGACGCGACGCTCGCGCCCGCGCTTCTCGTCGCGCACAACGTCTTGCTCTCCGGGCTCGCGTCGATCGACGTTTCGTCCGACACTTCGTCCGACACTTCGTCTTCTTCCCCCCCGTCGCTCGCGTCCCTCGGCGGACCATCGCTGCTGCCCTACCTCGAGCGGTGGTCGACGCGCAGGTCGTGGACGGACGCGTACCGCCGCGGCGGCGTCGTCAACGCCGCCGTCGTCCGGCACCTCGCGGCGTCGATTCTCGAGCGCGGCGGCGGCGGCGGCGGCGGCGGCGGCGGGCGCGCGAACGCGAACCGAGCCGCCGCCGCCGCGGAGTTGGCGGCGTGCGTCGAGCGCGCGCGGGGGAAGGACACGGCGTACGCCGACGCGGTCAGAGCGCGCGGCGGCGGCGGCGGCGGCGGCGCGGGCGAAGGAAGCGACGACGCGCCGAGGAAACTCAAGCGCGAAAAGAGCGCGAAGAGACCCAAGCGCGACAAGAGCAAAAAGACGAACGCGGTGATTTGCATCTAGCCGCGTAGCTCGCGCGCGCTGTAACTTTTTTATACCATACCGTAGGTCTCCGCGCGCGTCCATCCTGTACTAATACGCGAGAGAGGGTGGGCTGGGCGCGCGTTCCAGTCGCCGCCCGTCCCCCGCGCGTCGCGTCGCGTCGCGTCGCGTCGCGAGTCACGAGTACCGCCCCTCCGCGAACGCGGCCTCGTCGACAAAGTCGGCGACGACGATTTGCCCGCCAAACTTGCGCCCGTGCAGCGCCTTCCTCGCGGCTTCCGCGCCGGCGACCTCCTCGTACTGGACGAAAACCTTCCCCAGACCGGGGACGATCTCGTCGCCGCCCGCCGCGGCCGGTCGCGGGATGCGCACCTCGAGCACGACGCCGTGTTTTCCGCACTCCTCGCGCATGTCCTCCGTGATTTCCCCGTACTCGACGTCGTCTCTCAGGTCCTCGACGTCGAGCATGTCGTTCAGGGACAGCACGCGCGAGGGCGGGTTCGACGGCGGCGGCGGTTCGTT